CTCAGCAGGGCAGAGCCAGCCTGGACATTCCTATTGGCTTTTGAAAGCCAATAGAATTAGATTCTATTCAAGAGAGTCTATTCTATTGGCTTTCAAAAGCCAATAGAATAAAAGGGAGTAGCACAGCTAAGGAAAAGGGGGAAGAAAATGGCGGACTGCGTTGTTTGGTGACCCCCGTGAAATAGTCATTCGACCCCAAATGGGGTCCCGACCCACAGGTTGAGAACCACTGTTTTAAATAAATAAATATTGATATCTTTTAGACAAGAGAGGCAGCAGGTGCAAACTGATTATTGCCTAAGCTTTTGTGGAAATGGTCTGGGGTCCATGTCGATCAGACAGAGGGTGCTCTTGGATTTGCTGTAAAAGACTAGCAGAACTATCCTACTGGAAATTGTCCATGGTGGAAGATTAATAGGTGCTGTATTTTGGACTTTGGTGCTCTACTTTGTTTGAAAGGGGGCAATATATACACCCTGGAACCATTCTCCTTGCCAGTATGGTGCACCTATTGGGGTACTTTTGAGGTCAGTTCCTGCCTGAAACATGGATATGTCTCCCCAGACCACTCAAATTGCAGTCAGATATTCATCAAATCCTCAGCTGGTGAGATCAGAAGGTTTGTGGTGCTGGAAGCAGGAGCTTTCAAAATAACAGTTTGCTGGGTAGGCAAAAGCGTCAGTGCTCTTATGAAAGAGCAAAGGGAGGTGGGGGTGGATCTGTCGAATACGCACCCAGCAAAAGATCAAGGGAACCTCTTCAGTGGTTGAGAAAAACCAAGCTGACCCTTGTTCCACTTCTAAAACTAGCTTCTCTTCCAGATAGGTGGATATAACGCTTCCTAAACTCCAGAGCTGACATATAAAATAAAAGAACAAAAGCTCACGAGTATACAGTAATTAACCTTTTCACAGCAAGCTAATGCTATAGTACAGACATGTCAAACACAAGGCCCAGGGGCCGGATGCGGCCCGCAAAGTGGTTTCATATGGCCCACAAAGCCATCCTGGAAACAGTGAGGGAATGGCCCCCACTGCCTTGGCCCTAGCCCAGGCCGGCCGGGAGCCAATGTACAATTTTGTGGTGGTCATCTATGCTGAAATGCATTCAATCTTAGCTCCACAAGGCCATCTAGAAACAGTGAGGAACCAGCCCCTGCTGTATCGGCCCCGCCCCCTGGGTGCATGCTGGGGAGGTGTCACCCTTTGTGAGGAATGAAGAAATGGACCATGCCTTGGTGTTTGCCCCGGTTCCACCCCCTTCTGCCAGGGACCCTCAGATCTGTCCCACTCCTGCCCAGGCCTCCACAGGCACCCTTGACGCGAACGATGTAGAGCTGGCCATGCCCACCCAGTAGGCCACACCCACTCCATCCACACCTAACCAGTAGGCCACACCCATCCTGACCACACCCACCCTCCCCCAAGGGCAACCGCAATGCTGATGTGGCCCTCAATGAAATTGAGTTTGACACCCCTGCTATAGTATAAAACAGGAAAAAGGGTCCTGAGCTAAATATCAATTTGGTGGCCCAAATATTCCCTAACTGAAGATAGCATGAGCTCCTCAGACATCCACAGATGAAGAACATATCTCAGAGTCAAATATCAGCAACATGAGGATCTCTGTTTCCACAATACATACAGAAGGGAACACTTCATATATAAAATCATAGCACTGGAAATAATTTAGGGCAGAGAGTTCAATCCCCTGTTCAGTGCAGGAATTCAAATTCAAGCATCTCAGACAAGAAGAACTATGTAACTTGTCCTTAAACACATCCAATGACATCAACCATCCCTCTCTCTGGTGGTTCCATTAACAGAAGCTTTTCCCTTGTCAGGAAAATACTCCAAGGAGATTTCTGAAATACATATACTGGAAGATACCTTAAGCGGTTAGCATGGCTATTATGAGAAGCATGTCGAAGACTGGAATAATCCAGAGTGAAAGTCCATCCTCAACCTTGAAAGTTAATTAGGTGAATCTCAATCCAATCAAAACTTGGTGTCTCAAAAACAGGATTGTTATAGTAGGAAAACACTGGAAGGGGGAATAGTCTCAACTCTGAACTTTTGGAGGAAAGGCAGAATATAAAATATTATTTGCTCCATGTCAGTGTGGTCTATGGTTGCAAATCAGCAAATGAGAGGCAAAGGGCTTCTTTCATCCTGAAAGCTGCTTCTTTCTCTTACATTCACCAGAGAACCCAAAAGAGAAGGCAAGCTGCATTTCCAGCCCTGACAGACACTTATAATGAGGTCCTGAAGCAACTCAGATTAAAATTTATGAACTAGTTATGACATGTCATTGATGTTCCTCTTTCCTTTTTAAGCTCTAATAAGAGTGTCAGAAAAAGAACATCTGCAGAAAATTAAAAGCTGCACTGCTGGAAATGGAGCTAATGCTAATTTATCAAGGTCAGTTTCTACTTTAAATTCACCCTTTCCCAAAAGCCCTGGTGCGAAGAGTATTTAGAGGAATCAATTGGCTAATATGCTATACAGCAGCAGCTAGATGGGGGGTGGTGGTTTTGTGTGCTGCTTGCATCCTGCACGTGCACGGATGGGGCTTAGCTCGCTTATGTGGCCCAGTGCCAGTCTGCAGACTGGGGAATGAAGACCCCTGCTATACAGTATGGCTTCCCCCCAATAGGGAAAGATTAGTTTGATGATGAAGCAATTTCAGTGACTAAAATGGCACAGAAGGTAAAGGGTTAATCTCATCCTGCACCAGTGTTTCAGTTCCACTACCACTACCCCTACACACGCACACGCCTCCCTACTCCCTCCCCATGGGTGATGCTTTGGTTATACAGGTAGTCCTTGACTTACAATTACAACTGAGCCCAAAATTTCTGTTGCTACGCATGTGTTTTGCCCAGTTTTACAAATTTTCTTGCCAATTTTCTTGCCAATTTTCTTGAATTGCTCAAATTGTTAGATTAGTAACAAGGTTAAGTGAATCCAGCTTCCCCATTGACTTTGCTTGTCAGAAGGTTGCAAAAGGTGATCCCATGACCCAGGGACACTGCAACCATCATAAATGCATGCCATTTGCCAAGCATCCAAATTTTAATCACTCGACCACAGGTCAAAAGTTTGAAAAATGGTCAGAAGTCACTTTTTTCAATGCCATTGTAACTTTGGTCACAAAACGAATGGTTACAAGTCAAGGACTACCTGCACTGGGTTTTTTTTCTGTCAGGAATCACTGAGCCTGAGTTGCAGTATTATATACATTTTCTTAAATAAAATATAAATAAACAATAAGACTGTTACAAGGCTCAAGGCAGGGAGATCCTAAGCATCCTTTTGCTGGGAAGGACAGATACAAATGGCCAGGATAGGGGGTGAGTCCTCCAAAGACATGGGCTCCTCCTGCTAGAATTAAAGGTCAACATTTTAGTTCATTTAAGGATTCAATAAAGCTGAACGAAGAAGGTGATAGATGTAATTTCAAGAATATTAGATAGCTAAGCCAGGCTGTGTTGTTTGAGGAGATTAATATTGACACTGCCTTTTGGTTTTTAAAATGCTGCATTTTGCTGCTTTTGAAAACTGGGGAGCAGTCCTCTCGAATGAACAAAAAAAAGGGAAAAATGTGGATTCACTCACTTCAAATACAACGGAAAAGATGATTCTGTTTTGAAAATATAAGTGCTGTCCCACCCCCCCCACCCCCTAAAATCCATTGCCTTAGGATAAACTGACATAGATTTACATTGACCCAAGGAGCAAGGCGGAGAAATCTTAAAAGCCCAACCTCATCATATGATCTGGGAATAAACCTGTGATAATCTCTTTATTCATCTAATTCCCACCAGCATGCGGCAGAGAATTTCCCGCTGTTCTAAAGTGGAAGATTTCTTCTAACTTGTACTTGGCGCTTCAGAGTAGGGTTCAGCTGCCTCCAAAGCTGAATGGAGGGGTATAAAATTCTCAAATAGTTTTAACTACAAGTTGTTACGTATTTGTCATAATATGACTGTGGGTTCTTTTACAACTCTATGAGGGTATTGTTAAGTAGGACAATGGCTTCACAGAGATTGACAGAGATAGAGGAGTCTTTTGGAAAGGGGGAGTTTCTTTACTATATTCATCTGTATTTTCAGAATTAAGTCCAGCAGTGTCCAAACTTTTCAGTTTCCACTTTTCTGTAGCTCTCTTTCCACACAGTCCTTGCTAGCAAAGCTACTATTTCCCCCCTTTCTTCTTGTCCATGTCTCTCCGCTAGAGAGAGGGGGGAGGGGAACTGGCTGAGTCCAGTGTGGGCTTCAACCCTTTTGCACTTGTCCCTCTGCTAGGATCTTGTGTGCAGCACCTTCCTCTTGGGCTTCTCCAAATGCTCCAGGTGTCCGACTGCAGGCCTCTCTCCATCCCCATCTGTCTTGGATTTGGGGTGAAGCATGTCTGGGTCTTCACTGCCCTCCTCCCAAGGAAGCCTCCAGCTGATGTCTTCTTCCTCTGAGACTGGGAATCTCCACCCAACACTAGTGTACACCAGCAGTCTCTTGCCAGCCACCCACCCAGGTATCTCAAAAGACACTTTTTACCTCCATACTTCAAAGCAGCACAGACTCAAACACGTTTCTCTGTACTTCTTCCTCTCTCTCCTATATGGCTCAAACCAGCAGTCTCCTCCAGCAACTGAAGAGTTTGCTCTTACTTTATCTTCTAGTGGCCTGCCCAGTCAGTGTTGATCAAAGAACCTCTAACACCGTCCCCACCAACACTGACAGGGCAAGTCACTAAATATAAACTGAGAATAAAACCCATTTCTTACTAGCACTGATGATGTTATTTAGTTTGGGTACTGAAATGTCTGCAAAACAACCAAACTCAACAAGCACCAAGGACCCCTCACTCCCCGTGTTGCCTTCTCTCATTCTGCTGACCCACCACACCACACCACACTAGTCTGGCCACAAAACCCATGTGCCACATATTCAGCAAGTAAAAGAGAGCACTGCGTTCAAAAATTACACAAAGGACGATCTCCGAAAGTAATCAACACTGCATTTTAATACTATAAATAGGCCAGAATTTGAAGGGAGACAACAGCAAATTGCATATGATTTACATACATGTACATATACATATTTGGATAAACACATACTTACATGAACATACATAAGTTTGGCAGTATAAAGACAGTAAGGGACAAGAGAGAGACTTCACAAAAATTATAAATAAGATTCACTGGGCCAAAGGATCTCAATACATTAAGGCCACAAAGAGAACAAGCCACTTGGAATTTCCTTTCTTCCAGGGAAAGGAATGGAAATCGACTTCTTTGCATCCCTTATGCACTTTCAAACTATGCAAGAGAGGAAGTAATGCTATTAAGGATGCATCCAGGTACCAGTTAAGAGGTATGTCGGAAGGATTGCTGGAGAGGGAGGGAGGGAGGGAGGGAGGGAGGGACTAGTTGGATACAGCTATTTCCTCTTCCTGTTTCAAGCACAGGTGCAACGATTTGAACTTTTCAGACTGACCAAGTCACTTTCTCCCAATTTTCACAGGGCAATTTTAGGCCTTTGAGACAGAGTGCAATTTGTAAAATAACCTAGACTAGAGGGACGTAGTGTACAAATCAGAGATGTTTAGGCTCAAAACTTCAGTCAAGCCGGGAAATTGCTTTTAATCTCCCAGATAATAAAATGGGGGAAACCCAGATGTGATTCTTGGAAAAAAGGCAAAACAAAGAAAATTGGTGAAAATTTCTGCAAATCTCTACATATTCCTTGGACTGATCTGCAAGAAAATTAAACAGAGCCTTTGTTGGATTAATCCAAAGCATTGGCCTAGTCCAAGGATGGGCAACCTGGGAATCATGCTCTAATGTCCTACCATCACTGGTGACCATGGGGAATTTGGTTAATGATGTGACCTCACCAGAGTCTATGGTGGATTTTTTTTTCATGATTTGGGGGAATTGGCAAATTAAGAAGGAAAGTCTTACAGCATCCGTTTTGCCTTTTAAAGCTTTCTCCAAAATAGGAACGTTGGCTGGATTCTAGGATAATCATAATTTCAAAGGATGCAAGGGATAATTTAAACCTCTGCATTGGCCTCAACCCCCCCCCATCAGCCAATTCCCCCCCCCCAAAAAAATCCTTAAATATTGGCTCTGCCAATGCTGCAAAATTCTGTCCACCATCCCAGCAATGACCACAGGTGACAACATCTGCAAGGTCTTTTCCATTTTGTACATGAATGCACCGATCCATATGCAAAAGCAGCAAGGTTTGGATTGTGATACTACATCTGCCATTGTGCAGTTTTTGACCCACGCTTCCTCCACCAATGCTGCTGCTTCATCCTTGCTTTCCATGGTAGCTAATCCAAAAAGCCAACAATCAAAATGGCAAGACAGCAGCGCCTCACTCTTGTTTCAACCAGGTCCAGCTAAAAAGGCAGCTTTGCCCAATGGACAAAGTGAAAAAAGCATCTCACATAAAGTAGGCATGGGTCTGATCCCATCTTTCTCTAATTAGAGTGGTTGTAAAACTTTCTTAATACGTTTTCCATTCAGAAGGCAATTATTGAGATCAGTTCCAGTAAGCAGCTTTTCATGACATTCCAGTTACACAAGAGGGAAGGGAGCTTGACCTACTTTGGACACCACAAAACATATTTGTAGAAACTAGGGTTGCTATGCTCACAACTCCCATGTGTGAACGTTTCTCAATCTCTCATCTGCTGAGGACTGTAGGGTGAAGGAAGAAACTGTTCAAAACAAGAACTAAATACCTATTTCAGAAGTGGACAACTCTGCTGTCCAATATTGCATTTATAACTGAGATGGGGCGTAGGAGCAAAAAGAGAGTGGGGCTATATCATGTAAGAGTGAGGTGGATGAGGGTGTGGTTATAGCAATATTGCCTATTTTAGAGCTTGTATAGTAGCAGTTTTCATGTATCCTGTATCAAACTGCAGGAGACTTGGCCTTCAGGTTTAACCATCATGGCCAGGAAGCTCTGAAAGTCATAAACAGAAATCAGGTGTCTGCAACTGTAGGTTGCCCATCCTGGGTTAGAAAGATGCCTAAAATTGAAGTGTGGAAGTGAAATAACACCCACTTCCCTAGAAGACAGCATTTGTTAGAAAGGCATCATTGGCTGGAGTTTCTGCATGCTATATCTGGGTATCCTGCCATGGATCCAACAGTAACCCATTTAAGAATTGCATGTTGAAGTCAGCTCCAGGAGAATTTGAGTTAATGCAGCAAAGAAATACTTGCAAACTAAGCAATGGATGATGACATCCCCAAACCCCAAAGGGACAATGAACAAAATATCTGGAAATAAGGAGCTCTGTGCCATACACAGCTCCTTCTCTCCTACTATGACTGAGCAAATTACATTATGCAAATTGTCTAAGAACATGAAATTCTGGATGTTGATTGGGTAAGGCTGAATTCAGTTGAGCATTTTGGCGTTTTTATGGGCAGAACTGAGTTGAGGCAGATCCTTCAAACTCCTTCACACAAACAACCAGAACCCACTAGAGCTGTGCAGACTGTCTGCTTCGTAATCTAAATATCTGCTTTCCCCTCCCGATGATGGGAACTTGCCAAGGGCCACAGGAGGAGAGAGCAGTTGCTAACTTTGCCAAGGAAACAGTCTATAATATTATCCAGTACCCAGGAGGGGATCAGGAAGGCAAAACTCTGTATTTTACCAGAGATCCTTGTGTTCTCCTCCACATAGTTTTAGCTTACAAACTCACTTCTGAACAGGATACAGTAAAAAGACAAATAGAAAAACTGAAGACAAATAAGGAATTGGCTGCTAAATACAGCCTCCAGATATTCTTTATTTCCTATTAGTTTGAAAACTGATTCTGTTCAAAATGTTCCTGTCAAGGCTTGTTATAGCAAAGATGCAGAATCTCAGGCTGGAGGAGGTCTGAAATTGGCACCACGTTGTAAACAATGTAGGGCTGACATCCAAGAAGTAACTTAAATCGTTTTTACTTGAATGCAAGTCTTGAAAATAGTGCAATATAGAATATAAACCATGTTATAGTGTCCAGAGTATAATCATAGCCTTCATTGAACAGAAATCATGTGGTAAAAATTTACTATAGTTTACTAAAAAGAACATCTAAATCAGTTTCATATAAGTGAAAAATACCATGTTCCAATCCTATCAAAATGTAATCAGTACTGGATGCCTGAGGACAGCCCATCTTGTCTTCCAAATGTGTTGAAACTACAACTCGCAGAATTCCTAACAAGCCTGGAAACTTAGACCCAGTTTATGCAGGAAGGCTGGGTTTGTTCACACCGGTAATTCTGTTCCCATCGCCTCAAAAGGAATTCCATTTTGTATCTTGTCCCATTAGTGAAATAAACTCCAGGCAAACCTATGACTTATTTTTTTCTCTTCAGTGCCAGAGTTTTTGCCAAATCTCTTTTGTTTAAACAACTCCTTTCCAAGAAAAGCAGTTGCTACCCAGTTTCCTGCATTAGGATGAGATTAACATGAGTATCTCAAGATTTCAGACTCTGGCTCTTTCAGAACAAAAAAAAATCCTATTGTACCAGTAATGAACACAATCTAACCATGTCCAGATTTTCCTTCCCTCTCTGAGAAGGCCCATAATTCTCATTTCATCATTGGAAATTGATAGAAGGAGTTGACTTCTACTTGCCTGAGATTGGAGAGACATCTGAGCAAAGGCAACAGAACCTTATTCACCTGAGGAAATGGTGGGGCCAAACTTTTGAAAGAAGTAAAAGAGATTGCAAAAGTAAGAATTGGGCTAGCTGCAACAGAAGTACAAAATAGAGGGCCGAGGAAGTGGTGGTACAAGTTGCTCTTAAACAAGGAACAGGAATGAATGAATGAATGAATGAATGAATGAATGAATGAATGAATGAATGAATGATCAACCCCTAATTTGGGGGGATGAAAGTATGGCTCAATCATTCTCTGTAAAAGAAAAGATCAGGTGGTAAGGAAGTAGCGCCCTCTCTTTAACCTTTAGACTATGAAAAAGCCTCTGATTCCTTTGTCCATCTTTCTTGACCTTGGAAATGGATGGAGAAATTTGCTGGACATTAGGGCAAAGGGTTTCTCTGTCTCAGTGGGGATATGTCCTTCAAACACTTCAGATGACTTTGACAAGAACAATCCGACTAAGCCCACACAAAAACACATAGCCACTGCATATTTGCCTTAAAACAGTCACATAACATAGATTGAGAAAATATTTCCAGGATTTTTATGGTCCAATGACATAAGGAACCATATGAACAAAGAAAGTACATGTTGATCTTACCACCAACACAGTAGAACTTCAGAAATGTTAAAGTGACTGTTACTTTTTCAAAAAGAGAAGGACCAACACAAACAGCAAAAGAATTAACATCAATGCTAGAGAAGACAGTCCAGGAAGGAAGATAGATGGCACGGTTTTAGCTACGGATGAGGGCCAAAAATTCTTCACGAGTCTTTGGGTCTTCTCTGAATACTCCAAGCATGGTGCTGGTTACAGTCTTACTGTTCATTTTCTGAACCCCTCGCATCACCATACACATGTGCCTGCAGGAAGGAAAGACAGGGAAAAAATCCAATGGAAATATTTTTGCTGAAAGAAAATAGCCTGTCTCTTTCTGCTGCAAAAAACAGCAGGAGTAGGATGGAAACATTTAGCTGCACAATTGAAATCCAATCTGATCTTAATTTCAGTATAATGGCTTGCCAATCTTTTTTTTTAAAAAAAAAAATCAAGCCCTCCGTATTTTCACTCTCATGCACTCTTTTGCTGATGACTGAACCATGACATAAATTGAGGTGAGGAAACAATATATTCCTCTGTTGGAGAGGGGGAGATAGATGATAGATGAGATAGCTAGATTGATACAGATAGATGATATAGAAGATAGATAGACAGACAGACAGACAGATAGATAGATGGATGATTGATAGAGACAGATACATACAGAGAGAGATAAGTATATATATAGGGAGAATTATATGTAGTCCTTAACTTAAGCCAACAATTGAGTCCAAAATTTCAGTTGCTAAGCAAAACAATTGAGTTTTGCCCCGTTTTACAACCTTTCTTGTCACAGTTGTTTAGTGAATCATTGCAGTTGTTAAATTAGTAACATGCTTGTTAAGTGAATCTGGCTTCCCCATTGACTATGTTTGTCAGAAGGTCACAAAAGGTGATCACATGACTTTGGGACACTGCAAATATCATAAATACATGCCAGTTGACAAGCATCCAAATTTTGATCACATGACTGTGGGGAAATTGCAACAGTAGTGTGAGAAGCAGTTACTTTTTCATGTCATTGTAACTTAAACCCATCACTAAACAAATGGTTGTAAGTCAAGAACTATCTGTAAAGAAATTGAACAGTGAATGCTCTCTCTCTCTCTTTCTCTCTCCCTCTCTCTCTCTCTCTCTCTCTCCCTCCCTCCTCCTTCCTCCCACCACTTGAATTCCTTCACTCTTTGGACACATCACATTTGCATCAACTTACGTTGCCTCAATCACCACCCCAACTCCAGCAGGCTGCAAGGCTTCTGTGATGGCAACAGCAATTTGTTTTGTAAGGCGTTCCTGAACTGCAATGAAAAGGAGAAGAAGAAAAATGAATATGCTGTTCAGGAGAGAGTTTCTTAAAGCCACAGCTCATTAAAAATTATAAGTTTTAATCATATTTTCATGGCCCACAAAGTCTGCTGATAAAGAAAGTGCTGGAAGTCTCCTTAATGGAAGGAAATCCATCAGAGTCCAGAAAGGAAGCAAGTCTTTTCTACCTGCTCCTTTTAAAAGCAGATGTTGACCTCTGCCTATGTGAAACCACAGCACAGTCCTTGACTTACAGCTGCAACTGGGACAGGCTTTACAGTCGTACGTGACGGTAGTGAAGTGAGGCACCTACACACAAGACTCAATTTTATGCTGCAGTCATTAAGCGCATCACCGTGGTTGTTAAGCGAATCCATTGCCGTAAGTGCAAACCCATTCCTCCAAGTAGACATTAGAGTTGTCGTTGTGTGACCATGGCACACTGCAGCCAGTTATAAAGGTGAGCCAAGCACCTGCAATGTGGTTACATGATTGGGTGGATGGTGGTGGCACATCTTACAACAGCCAGAAGTGCTTTACAGGCCATAAAGCATCCATTCCACGTCTGTCGTAATGCCAAACAGTTGTTAAGGGATCGGTCATAAGCTAAGGACTACCTATATCTGGAGACAGGGGGCCCTGCAGTGCGAAGCAGAAGATGATCCTGGACTTGGAGGATGCAGAGCCACCTTGTGGTGAGAGGTGGGGCAGCAGGCTTCTGTTCAGGTCTCCCCATCAGAGTTTATTCTGCTTGTATAATTATGGATTATGAAATGCAGAGGAACATATTTATTGGCTGGCCATATTATCAAGTCAAAATATATATTTCTGTAGATAATGTATATTCACAAATCCTTCCAAATAGAAAGTAGGCTAGGCTAAATGCTTCTCACTGATTAACATGCTGATATTCTATCATGGTTCTTATTCTCTTTGTTATTGTCTGCTGTCCAGAGTAACTTCTTGAAATAGATGGCTGAATGAATGAATGGCTGAATGAATGAATGAACGAACGAACGAACTCCTATGGAACTTCCTGTGTAATGAGATATAATAAATCGTTCACAGCACATTCATGCCTTCTATTTTTATTGCCACAGGTGATTAATAGTCTTTTGATATTGCATGACAAATTCTACTAGAATGGCAAAACATAACATTTCACTGGGTGAAGCACCAAAGGTTGTTACTTGCCTTGTAATCGTCTACTATATATTTCCACAATCCTAGAAGAAAAAAATGCATTCCGTTAAGATTACTCTGGAAACAATGATATGTTTAGGAAGGTACTTCCCAATTGTTTTCTTTTATTACCCAAACCCACATATAATAAAACCTTATTGAACTTTGAGGACCAGTTGTGAGTCCCTTCCTTCAAGCACTGTCGGAACTTCAAATGGATACTGTACGAATGGTTGCAACTAGAGGACTCTCTGTATTATAAAAACAACATCACTGAGGGATCTTTATGTCATCTCAAGAAATTACTATTGATAAGTTCATCCATTTTTGTCTTAATAGGAATAATTGGGAAGTATTTTGAATATATTTTAGCACACATGGCAATCTTTAAGTCAATGTATATGTCCCTGTTGTGATGGGTATGGATTTGTGTATCATTACCCAAAAGGAAAAGAAAAATACATTTACTCAATTTTGGGTAATTTATCCAGGTTAGGGAAACTCTGATCTTCGACAGGGATGTAACCCTCCACTTTCTAGCATCTTCTTTCATCACTGTATCACTTGCTGGGAAATGCAGGATTTAGCAACACAGGATGAGCCCCCTATTCTGCTCTATTACAGTATTCAATAGATGTTCTGGCCCTGTAGTTTTGAAATGTACTTCTTAAGATGGAAATCTCTAAGAGGCCACTCCAATCACCAATTCAGCCTCTCTGATCTGCCAGAATCCAGCCTGCTTTTGCCTGTTGGCAACCAGGCCTTTGCACAGAGACAGCCTGGGGTGATCCAAAAAACAGGAAGATATATAAGCAATCCTTTTCACTGTTAACTGCTTAAACAATGGCATGGGCAGGATGCTGTTATGCTACTTTTCACACTTTTTTGAAAATTTGGAAACTACACTATCATTGTCATGAGAAATTTTAGCACAAGGGATCTAATAATAAAGTATTCCTGAGACAGAATGACAGAACTGGCCATGCAAGTCTCAACGTGGGATGTGACGCTCCCAAACATAAGCTCTTCTAAGCCCTGATTCTTGTAATAGAAGAATTAAGGTCATGCTTCAGTCCACCTGTGAAATACAGTAAATGCAGTTGGCTTTCTTGATCTGGCAGATTATGTTTGGCCAACAGCCATAGTAAGAAGTGCTCCTTAGTAGGCTGGCCAAGTTTACTTCTGGAGCAATCTCTTCTAGCTTACTTGCCAATCTAGCAAAACAAGGCTTTCAAAAAAACAGTTCTTAACAACTGGATTTGGGGAGAAAACTGCTTTGCTCTAGATTTCTACCAACTAGCTGCCACCAGGCTTCAGTTGCTTGGTGGTAGAAATTTCTCAGAATAATGCTGTCCTATTTTCTACAGCTCTTTAGATGTTAGGAAGATACCCATTACAGATATCATGGCTCCCTACAGTCTTCCCTTCTCTGTGCTAAATATACCCAATGGTTCCAAACATTCCTATAAGCTTTTCTTACCATACTTGCTGTCCTCTGGATACATTCCAGTTTATCAATATCCTTTCTAAAATATAGCGTCCAGAATTGAATACAATATTCTAGAGGCAGACTTACCAATACTGAATAGATAAAAATAATAACTTCTCTTCATCTTGATATTATATTTGTGTTGATGTAACCTAGTGTTGCTTCTGCTTCTTTTGCAGCTGGGTCACACTATTAGCTTGTGTAATGTTTATGAAGTGTGAAGTTACTCAGATGCCTTTCACATGTAACTGAATGAAGTCTCCACCAACCTATTTTATGCCCCAGATTACTGAAGCGCTTCACGTTTGTCGCTACTGAAATACTTCGGGACCTCAATACCTATGTACACTTCTTTGCAAACAGTGTCACTCTCTGTTCTGTTCCTATTCTATAACTTATACTCTTCAATTCTTGTATTTCATTCTGGAGTTTCATCTCACCAAGAAAAAGCACATTCTTGTAAAAAGCTGCTGATGTATAAGTATTAATAACATTTAATGAAATACCAAAAGCGACAAAATCTGGATGGCCATCTGTCAAACTTTATACAAGCTGGTCCTCAATTTCAAGGGAACGCTGTCTGAATTATATTGAGAAAAGTTAACAAAATTGCTTATCAATAGATCGCAATCCCTAGACTGCAGCTGAGCACAAGGTGCAAGATTATTTCAACACTGTTTTTCTCAGTTTGGTAAGACATATTGCTAATAGAATCAAAGCAATAGTTTCTAAATGCAAATTGAATGCAAATCGTATCTTCTCAGTTTAGAGATAAAGTTTCTACTTTTTGGGCAACAGAATAAGTACAAACCTTCTTTCTATGCAAATGTCTAGCCTCTCCACTGATATAACATAAGAAGCAGCTCCTCACAGAAATTCAACATCCTTTACCATTTAATTTCAGCAATGTATTGATTTGTAAGACAGGGAAAGAAAATGATGCTTGCCATGATTCACAGACAGAAAGAAAATCATCAGATGTGAATGACAAATCAAGATTAAAGTCCTTGCTCTGCTGCTACAATTTAGAGATAATTGGGGGACCACCCTAGCAATACTAATCCATTGATTTGTCCTGCCAATGCCATCAAAAACAATAGGCTGATAACAGGTTTCAAATAAATCTCCTCCCCCCCATGAAAAACAAATTAAGATGGATGAGGCACCATATAATGTTTTCAACATTTACTAACACAGGCAGATAAAAGATGCCAATTATTACACAAGCAGCCCTTGTGTAAGTCAATAGATGTGAGATAAGCGAATCACAAATGTCAGAGTGCCGGAAGGTTTCCATTGATGTAAGAAGCAACAGATCTTCAACAGATCACATGATCAAAATTCAAGTGCTTCGCAACAGGCATGTGTTTACAATGGTTGCAAAATTCTGGGGTCATTTGATCACCACTTCCAACCTTGCCAAGGGTTACCAGCAAGCAAAGTCAGTAAGGGTAGTCCCAAAGGTGCTTTTTTCACGAGGCAACTGGACTGTCTTGTTTTTCTTTGACAACGTTTTGCTTCTCATCCAAGAAGCTTCTTCGGCTCTGACTGGATGGTGGGGAACAGCAGGATTTATACTCCTTGCAGACAGCTGGTTATTTGCATTCTTTTAGCAAGCCGTTGAAGCCCCTGGAGGCTTATCTGTGTCATCAGGGTCACTTAAGTAGTGCATTGTACTTTATATATCACATTGCTCAGTTTGTTTCTGGTTGTTTTATCCTTGGGGTGGACAAGCTGGATTATGGATCAATAAGAATAGCTGGATTTGTTTAACAACTGTATGGTTTGCTTAACAATAGTGCAACTCACTGAAAACCTTATTGCTTAATGATGGATGTTTCATTCCCAATTATCATAAGGAAGCCTGCTTGGATCAGCCAATACAGTCCAAGATCATCTTAACAATATGGTGATAACTGTGCATTGTAGCTCATTCTTTCATATATACAGCTCATTCTTTCATATATATGTTTTCTGAGGTTTTCGCGGGTGTTTGTATGTAGGTCTTTGGTTATTCGGGTTTTCTCCCACGTAAAATTGGAAGTGTCTTGGCAACGTTTCGACAAAGTCCCATTCGTCATCTTCAGGCTGGTGTTTTCAGCTTCATGCTTCGAGCAGCAATGTGTGGTCTTAACTGTTTCTTCCTTTTAACTGCCAGTGGGGGTATGAACTGATTGGGTGGGAGCTTGGCTGTGTTCTGATTGGGTGGAGGTGTGTTCTGATTGGTTAGGGGCTTGGCTGTGCTCTGATTGGCTGGGGGGGTTGGCTGTGCTCTGATTGGCTGGGGGGTTGGCTATGCTCTGATTGGCTGGGGGAGTGGTCTGTTTGGGTGGGGGCTTTGTTGTGCTCAGGTTAGTCTGAGTTGCAGGGGGGGTTAAGATGGTGGGCTGCCTTGCTATTTTTTGGCTTCGCGTTCGTGGTCGTGCCTCATCTTCATGGTGGGTGTCAGTTTGCTTCATGTATGGATTGGAGGGGTTTAAAGTGGCTAATGATGCAGCTGTGGTCTGGCTTCTGGTTTGTGGTTGTGCAATTGCTCCTCGAAGCACGAAGCTGAAAACACCAGCCTGAAGATGATGAATGGGACTTCGTCGAAACGTCGCCAAGACACTTCCAATTTTATGCGGGAGAAAACCCAAATAACCAAAGTCCTACATACAAACACCCACGAAAACCTCAGAAAACTGTAGTCTTCCAACAACTGCAGTAGCCTTTTCACCAACTTTGCCCACATTACAAAAAGTAAAAAACAAAACAAAACAGGATTAAGGCTCAAAAAGAAGAGGCTCAAAAAGAAGAAGATTCTGTTAACTGAAGTCCATGTGTATAGCTCACTAGCTTGTTTGGGTTACTGTGTTTTTTTCCTCAATACAATAAACTCCTTTAACGGTTCATTACTCCCTAATGTTCATCAAATCCAAAATTGTATGATTTGCATTGATTTACCATTTGTAAAAGGGCATCGTAGCGCCATTCAAGTCAAACTGATGTCATTTTTATAACAAGATCACTACTTGTAAGCATAAAAATATTAAATAATTGAATGCATATTTAAGAACTTCATCTTGTTCATAATATAAAAGGGATATCCAGCTGGACATTTTTTCTGTTGTGTTTATTGTAGACTTTTTTTAAGCTACAGAAAAACAACAACAACGATCAGGAAGTAGTAGGTAGATTAATAAATGAACTGCCTGACCTTGCAGGTGGGGATCAAGCATGTCTATGGAATATAATTGTCAATGGAGTTGACAATTAAACTAATTAAACTAACCAGAGTTAGTTCCCTGAGTTAACGCAGATGTAGCCAAAATCACCAGCTGTTACCCCAATTTGTAGTAGTCAATTTCATATATTTATTTATATTACTGTTTTGCTTCCTCCAAATATGCTGTCAGTCAATTCTGCCAACCAACCCAACAATTCTTCCATATCTTCCAGTCTTTGGGGAGATACGGCTTTTTGAAATTGTCTACTTAATTTATGGGCAGAAAAATTCTCAAGAAATAGGACTTCATCTCAGCAGTTCTACTGAAAACACCCAGAAAAGGAATTCCTCATAATCTACACAGTAAATTGGGAGGCAGTAAGCAACTGAGGAGAGGATTGTTTCATGTAAAATGGGACGTTCACGCATATTGCTTGGCTACCTCATCATTCTGTAAGTCTAAGAACAGCATTTTTTCTAATCATTTGTCCAAATCCTCTTTTTTGGAAAGAAGTTCCAGAGCTGATTCCAAAAACAACTGATAGGAAAAAAAAGAGAAGAATTTCTTTTCCTGATAACATGTTTCTCCATATATCCCTTTTCTCCATATGCAATTTGCACATGCCTCTAACATGTTTTACAAATTTTTACAAGTTCACAAATTTGTAAACTGCTCAGAGTGACTGGGAGTCAGGCAGCATATAAATTTAATAAGCACTATTAATTATTATGATTGTTGTACAACTACACTTTAATTTGCTGGAAGCTTTAAAATCACCAAAGAATGTCATATTCCTTAGAGGGGGGTACTCTAGTTCCTTTCTCATGATTTTGTGAGCTCTACAATTTCACTCTGAGGATGCGACAACCCTGAATAAAAATGAAATTGGTGGCATGCAATTTGATAGATAAATAAATCAATAAAAATAAACTTGCATCATTCCTATAAAGGTTTGGTCGAATGTGCTGCTCATTTCCCCCTAATATGATCTTTGCTCTTTTCATTACCATTTCCTCAATCAAAAAACAAGATGTGGGGGAGAGGAAGCTATCCAGGTTTAGTACATTGGTTCCTACTAAGAGCCATCTAGTTCCCTGTGTGCCCTCCTCCTTCTGCTACTCCGTGCAAGAGAAGAAAGCAAAGTTCAAGATGGAAATGCTGCTGAACTACATGAAGTGCAAATTTACATATATAAATCCAGTGCGCCTTCAGTCTGTTTCACAATTGCTACCCCAGAGATAAGAGTTCATGCAATATCCTAAACTCTTAACTCTGGGTTAATAAAATACCATTCCTGTAATCACATATCATATTACCAGTATTGCTCAGATAAACTACACTATGGCTTGGCTTGCTAGTTTGGTTTATTCAGCATGTTGCAACAATGGTTATAATCCCAGGGTCACAAATTACCCAACCTCATTTTAACCTAACTTCTAGTGTCGGGCAAACCCACCCCTTTACATATAGTTTGTATGCATTCTCTCCTGCCAACTTTTACTTTAATCAAATAATAGACTGTTTAGCTTAAAGCAGAGGTGTCAAACTCGTAACGTCATGTGACGTGTCACGACGTATCACGACTTTTTTGCCATTGCTGGCAATGGAGTGGGCACAGTTTCGCTATGATGCATCTGGCCTGTGGGCAGGCAGTTTGACATCCCTGGCTTAAAGCAACAGGAGGGGAATGATAGAACAGCCAGAAGGCCAGAGCTGGGAAAGGGGATATTTAACATTCTCTCAACAGGTGTTTCCTAACCAAACTTCCATACTATCCTCAAAGCCACTAGTTGCCCTGGACTGGAAAATGTACCTCCACATCTCAATGGTGCATAAACACTTTTCTGTATGGGGCTGTGGGAAGTCAACCCCCCCCCCAGAGAAGGAAATATTAAAAGGGCAGAAAAATATATTTCCTCAAAGGATCTTAAAGAGGCAGAAAAGCATGCCCAGTTTTCTTAATAGCCCCAGGTCTCCCTCCCCCAAGCAGAAACTAGCTCTGTACAAATGCAGATGTAAACCATCCAGGAAGGTTGGAAGCCCCAGCTAGAAGATTAAGACAAAGACACCTACAATCTACATACCCCATCCAAAGTCTAAGACAGGACATAATAGGATTAACCCACAGATGCCAAAGGGCACACCCAGACACAAGTCAAAATACATGACACAGGAAATACAAAGCCTCAAAATAGGAACAGGAAGCAACTCCAAACAAAAGGCTCCCTACATGTCCTCAGCACAGTATCTACAGGTAGTCCTTGACTTACAATAGTTCACTTAGTGACATGCGAAATTATAATGACACTAAAAAAAGTGACTTGTGACCCTTTTTTCATACAGTCGTTGCAGCATCTCCATGTCACGTGATCAAAATTCGGATGCTTGTCAACTAACTCATATTTACGACGGCTGCAGTGTCCTGGGGTCAGGTGATCACCTTTTGTGACCTTCTGACAAGCAAAGTCAATAGGGAATCCAGATTCACTTAACAACCATGTTACTAACTTAACAACTGAAGTGATTCACTTAACTATGGCAAGAAAGGTTGTAAAATAAGGTAAAACTCACTTAACAAATGTCTCACTTAGGAATATAAATTTTGGGCTCAATGTTGGTCATAAGTTGAGGACTACCTGTAGTTGCTTAATGAAATGCCATTCAGTACTTGCTTTTTGCAGCATCTATGATCGCCAGAACTTGTTATTCAAGAGTAAAAAACTGCCACCCTCAAGGAATCCAACTGGAACATTAAATCAGGGTTCCAAATAGATGGGATTATGAGGGAGTCACAGTGAAACCTCTGTTTTTCTTATTAATGCAAAATGATTGTGTACAGGGATAGGGGAAAAATAAGATCGATTAGCCTCTTGTAGAATGGCCTTTCTGTGCTGGAATCTGAGAAAGGAATGTGAGATTGTCCTTAAATCTGCCTTTTTTTTCTTCTGCAGAAGAAGTCTGTATCTTATCAGAGAAGACAGGAGATGCACAACCAGCAAAATGAACCTGCAAAATCCCTTGCCAAGTTTCTTGCAATTGTAGCAAATGGGTTCCTATTCCCTCCTTGATCACCCACCTAGGTATACAATCTGCTCACTATAATGGTGGATTTGTATCTTGTCTCTAAGACATACCAGGGTGGCTTTGTAGTTAAGGTGTTGGACTAGGAGCTAAGAGACCCAGTTGTAGTTCATTTCAGCCACAAAACCTCACTGTGTGACCTTGAACCAGCCATTCTCTCTCAACCCAACTATCATAGTTACAGGGAAAAAATAGGCCTGGTGGTTAAGGTCTTGTAGGTAAGTTAATTTTCCAATAAAATGGCCATTTTTCCAATTAAAATGTAGTTTTGCCTCCAAGCTATGTGATATTTAAGAGACAGATAAATATTTCCAAAAAGAAAAAAAGAAAATGCTTATGCTTGTATAGTTCTTGATCCCTGCGGGATACCGTGAAGCACGTACAGTCCATTTTAACTGAGACGATTAAAACAGAAGGTCATTGTAGAGAGAAAACAAATTTTGTCAGACCAAACTATGAATGGAGGATTTAGCGTTTCAAAAATGCCTTTCCCACTTATCATCTGGATGCTCAGAAACTATATCTTGTATTCTTCTGTAAGAAATATTTTTACTCCTATCTTAAATCTGACCACCATTTTTATAAGCAATCCCCCTGTCTAAACAGAGAAGCTAAAATCATCTCTGAAATGCCCAAGAATTTCTCTAGTCCAGTGTTGACAACACTGGACTAGGTAGTATGAATAGGCATAGTTTCTTATTTTTATAAAATGATAATCAACCATGTAAATTTTTTTTAATTAGAACTCTTCCTGCATGTGTTAATCATGACATATTTAGCAAGAAGGTAAAAGAAGGCATGGTTAGTTTAGCTCCATTTTAGATATCTGGACCAATACAGCTGGACTGTAGGGTCCTTAGTGCTCTCTGAGCTTGGTGGTTTCATTACCAAATTAGGTAAGCTGGAACTGTTTACCCAGACCAAGTTAAAAATCAGATCTGGGATAGATGGGTTAAAGTTCTATCTCTACCATTTCCAAGGCTTTAAACAAGTTACTCTCTCAAGGATTTTCATACAGACTAGTAAGGCTCTGGTACCTCTAATGAACCTCAAATATCTGGTACCTCTGATATGAAATCGTAGTAATTGGCCCAAAATCACACAGTTGATTTTTATGTGTAGGGCAGAAGCAGAACTCACAGCCTCCAGTTTCTAGCCTGCAGCCTTTAACCACTGCATCAAACTGACTCTTTAATTATTATTACTCCGATCATTTTCATCTACTGGCACGGGCTATCTAGGCAGATACTGTATATAGCTAGATCACCGTTGGCTTGAAGACACATCAGTATTGTGTAGCATATTAAGGGCCATATGCAAAATTAAATGGAACCAATACACATTTTGGAAGGGAGTTTAAGAATGAAATTCTTCTTATGTACCTCTCCCCCCCCCCGCCCCCAGGGCTTCTTCCTTAACTAGGTGCTAACCAAGGATTTTCTGCCTGGGGGGCCATCCAAAGCTTCTGTCTGTGGTGAGGGGATTCCTCTTCTCCAGGTAAAACAGCAATGTATCCACTTGCACTTTATTATTAAACTTGGGAATCAAACATGAGAGTTGGGCTTTCCCATGTGTGGCCCTTAAAGGTATTGGCCCTCAATTTACAATTCTAATAGAGCTGAAATCTGAAACCCCCACAATTACAGCTCTTCACTTCCCCAGAACCCAATTTGATTTGTTTTTTTAGCATCTCTATCAACTATCTTCAGCCACTGATAGTCCAAAACACCAACCCTCCTCACTCTCTTTTACATTATGACCCTTCTCTCTCTCTTCCGGTGAGCTTACTGGAACCTAAAGAACTTGCTCAACATTTTGCATATAGATGAATCTGGGAGTCATTTCCCTTATTTTATTTCTACCTCTATATCTTTATCTCCTTCAAGTCAGTCTAGATTCCTGGTGACTATATGAACAAAACCATGCACTTTTTTGGGCAACATGGTTGGAAGTGAGTTGCTGTCGCCATTATCTTTATCTTAGGGCTAAAACAAGTGACTGTCCCAAAGTCACCCAGCTGGCTTTGTGCCTAAGGCAGGATTAAAACTCACCACCTCCCGCTCTCTAGCCCAGTGCTTTTAACCATGCCATACTAGTTTTACTTTGGTTATCTGCAGTTAAATAACTCAAACGATTTGTTTTTCTTACCTTGCAAGCTTGCTGAGCCCAAGGACTTGTTTGTTGGGAAGGTAACCTATATGCACCTAGGCAGAAGGAGAACAAGTCATTAAACAAAGCTCAGGACTCATTGACCTGGGAGATTCATGCATGTGCACCCATGCCATGTCAGACATGACCCAGAAATTGACTTTTTAAAAATTGGTAAGTGAGTGAAGCAAACAGTCATGCAGTTGCATAAGTCTTAAAATGTCAAGGATAAAGAGAAAACCAACATGCTTGTGAACTCACTTCCCACTTTTTTCCTTTCTTTCCTGTAAAGAATAGAAGATGCAATCAGAAATCTTTCACAGTTTAGTATTTATTGAAAAAACCAAGAATGGCTACATAAGTCCTATAGATAGCAGTGAAAGTACGGAAAGATTTTCTAACATGAAATCAAGTTGTTGAAAATCTGCTAAATCAAAAATAAGAGGGATACATTACTATACACTTCCTGTCACATGACTAAATAAGGCGCATCTGAGCTGGCAGCTCGGGAAAAAATGCTTTCTTTAGTAGTTCAGTATATTTATGGACATATTAGCAAATCTGATAAAAACAGGATGCAAAAATGGGAAATGCAGAAGGCAAACAATCTCAGGAACAATAAATGAAGCAAAGAGATGGCTGAAGGCAGAAGTGGGTAGCTTCTAACCTTACAACCACCTGCAAACTTTGGTCTCTGTTTAGACTTCTAACAAGAACAATCTGTTCCATTGCTCAGCCACCCAAGGAAAAAAAGATGTCTAAAATAAGAGAGAAACAAGAATATGCCAAAAAGAGGAAAATGGGTGGCCTTATCCATTTTGGGCTGTGGCCCTAATACTTTTGCCCTATCTACTATATGATGTGACCCTTTAATCCTGCAGCCCTGGATAACAAATGATGCTCACTGATGGCTTAGGGCAGGGATGTCAAACTCACAACGTCACATGACGTGTTGCAACATATCGCGACTTTTTTTTCATTGCTGGCAATGGGGTGAGCGCGGTTTCGCTTTGATGCATCCGACCTGCAGACCAGCAGTTTGACACCCCTGGCTTAGAGGTGATTCTCTCCATCCGGGTACATGGCAAAGGATTTCAGAGATAATTCAGCTGCTCAAAGCACTGGTCATATATGAGCACAAGGATTTGTTGATTTCTACAGCCACAATTAATTCTCCAGAGCAATTTTGGCTGGTTTTAAGTCAAGCACAAAAAGTCATATTGCTCCAATTTTCTCATATCTAATGCCCTGCAAGTTTGAGAGACTAGCCCCCATTTTCTATGCTTTTCATGGATAACAGGAATTATAGCCCAAATCTTAAGGCTAAAAAAGCTGAAGACATTTTGGTTTGGTATATGTTTTCCAGTCTACCCAGTAAAAAATATAACAACTTTGAGCTATTTAGCACAAGAATAAAACTAGATTCCTGATTACATTTATTGAATTTCTATGACTTTTTTTCAGGACAGGTCTGGGAAAGATGGTGTTGAAAGGGTTAATCTCAAACCATGTCTAATCCATGGTTCTTTATATCTAGATGTGGACTCCCAGAATTGCTAAGGAATTTGGGAATTGAAGCTCCAATTAAAGAGCTCCAATATAAAATCACTGTCTAGCACTCCATAAAAGTCATTAATTGACTTAGGAAAAAAAGGACAAAGGTTTCTCTAATTAGCTGGTAAATATTAAAAATTAAACATCAACATATATATAGAAAAGCCATATCATGTATTTAGAATATAGAGAAGTGGGGATGTTAAATTTCATCTAATGAAGGAGGGAAAGTGAAGAGAATGTGTTTCATAGTTCAGTTTTGGGGTCATTCAATTTAAAGAAATCTAGCCTATAAATTATGTATATTTCTTTTAAGCTGACTGCCAGTGAGACTGCCTTTGTGATCCTAAAAAAGAGAAATAAGATGCCTAGAAATCAAAATTACTTCAGTTGGCAGAGAAGGTTGGCACAGTCTGTGTTATAAGACATTCTTTGGAACAATACCAGGATTTTTTGGAAAAAGCAGACTATGTGAAAAGACATGAACAATAAATTATAAGTCTAGCACTGTAGGACTAGGACTTTAAGACCAATATCTCACTCAGCATAATAAGAGTAACACTGCAGAACTGACTTATCCCACTGGAAAGTAAAGGAAATAAAACATTACCATCCAATAAGGGGAACACAGTAAGATAATTACTAATAAGTACCACTTCGGTGGGAAGATAACAGCATTTCATGACCATGGAAGTGTCTTCGGACAATGCTTCATTTAATACCTTCACAAATATTTCTTATTGTATTCATTTAATCGACGGAAAAAGCCATTCACAGAATTTAATTTTCCCTACAGAGGAAAACTAGGAGGTAACAGTATACACTAAAGATCTTACAGAAAATGAAATGCAACAGAGAAAGGACAACATCAATTCAAGTCAGTGATGAATGTCTTGAGGTTTTGGACTATGTGGCCCTCAAAAGTCCCTTTGCATCCAGTCTTCAAAGTTTTCTAACTCTTAACTTTGGAGCTTGACTCCTGGTACCTAAATGGACACGTGGAATTCCCCAGTAATCTCCCTTCCAAATATTAGCCGGTCCCAAGCCTGTTTAGTTTCTAAACTAAACTTTGCTGGAGGGAGTTATCCCTTGCTGAAATCCTTTCTGATTATAATTACAAAGAAGTGAAACATGGTTTCCTGCATTTTTAAGGCTGGAAGTCCATCAAAACATAGTATACTTAGTATATAGTATACCGTAAATGCCGGCGTACAAGGCGACCCGGCGTATAAGACGACCCCCGTCTTTATAGCCAGGTCGCATTCCTAGAACGTCGTCTTATACGCCGGAAACTACCAGTATTTCCGGCGTATAAGACGACTCGGCGTATAAGACGACCCCCGTCTTTGGTGCCGATTTCAGCGCTCGCGGAAGTCGCCTTATACGCCGGCATTTACGGTACTTAGATTTCAGTAAGGCATGCGACAAAGTAGACCACAATCTACTGCTTGGTAAGCTAGAAAAAGGTGGAATAGACAACATCACCACCAGATGGATTTGTAACTGGCTGACAAACCATACTCAAAGAGTAGTCCTCAATGGTACTACATCCACATGGAGAGAAGTAAGTAGTGGGGTACTACAAGGCTCCGTCTTAGGCCCAGTACTCTTCAATATCTTCATAAATGACTTAGATGAGGGAATAGAAGGGGAACTCATCAAATTTGCAGATGAATTTAAACTGGCAGGAATAGCCAACATCCCAGAAGACAAGCTCAGGATCAAAAAGATCTTGACAAACTTGAACAATGGGCCCTATCCAACAAAATGAGTTTTAATGTGGAGAAAAGCAAAGTTTTACATTTAGGCAGGAAAAATCAAAGATATAAGTACATATTAGATGAGACCTGGCTCAAAAACAGTAACTGTGAGAGGAAACTTGGAGTCCTAGTGGACGATCACTTGACTATGAGCCAGCAGTGTGCAGCAGTAGCCAAAAAAGCTAATACAATCCTGGGTTATATAAACAGAGGCATAGAATCAAGATCATGTGAAGTATTAGTACTGCTTTATAAAACACTAATGAGACTACACCTGGAATACTGCAACCAATTTTGGTCACCATACTATAAAAAAGTTGTTGAGAATTTGGAAAAAGTTCAGAGAAGAGCAACTAAGATGATCAAAGGCCTGAAGACTAAAATATATGAGGAACAGCTGCAGGACTTGGGTTTGGCTAGTCTAAAGAAAAGAAGAAATAGGGGTGACATGATAGCAGTATTTGAGGGGCTGCCACAAAGAAGAGGGGGTCAAATTATTCTCCAAAGCACCAGAGGGAAGGACAAGAAACAATGGTTGGAAACTGATCAAAATAACCTGGAATTAAGGAGAAACTTCCTAACAGTGAGGACAATTAACCAGTGGAACAGCTTACCCCCAGAAATCGTGGGCGCTCCATCACTGGAGGTTTTTAAGAAGAGACTAGACATTCACCTGTCTGAGACGGTGTAGGTTCTCCTGCTTGAGCAGGAGGCTGGATTAGAAGACTTCCAAGGTCCTTTCAGCTCTATCCTATCCTATCCTATCCTATCCTATCCTATCCTATCCTATCCTATCCTATCCTATCCTATCCTATTGCTACAGAGGAAACTATAAAATAAGCCAAGCATAATTTTTAAAACCTGTCTCCAAAACTCTCCTCCAAAAAGCTTGACCTATCACTTTTCCACCCAAGGTGGCCCTTGACCATTTAACAACTAGCTTCTCCTGGTTTAAAAGTAAATACTTTTTAATCAGTACTTTTAGTAACAAGTGGAGAAGGGACTCTGAGTCAATTCTATCACACAGTGTCAGTATTCAGAATTTTGCCTAGCTAGGCTACATGGATTTGAAAGGATTCCCCTTTGAAAGGAATGGAGAGGAGAAATGGAGAAAATAAAGGTAAGTAGAAAAACTGTTCTTACTGTGCTGCAACAGGCCAAGGGCATTTTCAAATAGGTCTCTTGTGACCCAGAAGAAGTCAAAGTTTATGTCTGTGATGATCAAATTTAATACAGAGATCTCTGCCCGCAAGGCGTGCCACCAGGGATATGATACAAAGGCTTTGAAATGAAATGTCAGAAACTATTAGGAGAGAAATCCAGACTAGTGCAAGGTGATCAAAACAAGAAGCAAACTGACAGGGCTCTTGGTAAAGAAAGGTGGACATTGTGCTTGGAGAGTTTGCTGTGGATGTCAGAAAGCCTTGACCTCAACATGTCCCACTCATTCACTAAATGCCTATAGAGTCCAACAAGCAACTTGGACTTTGATTTCAATCCACCCTTGTTTCTCATTTGTCAATTTCCTGAAGCTTCGGGTCTTTATAAACCTGAACCTGTAAACCTTTTTAAACCTGAATTAAATTAAAATGAATATATCAGTATATCCAAAATGCATAGAAGCAATACATTTATTTGTATTTTTTTCTTTTCAGAAAATTTTAGGACAGCCCCTAGCATAGAAAAATACAACATAAAACATGACATAACAATAACATGACATCATATATAATGTAATATATAACATAACACATAACATAACATTATTCTGCACCAGATAAGATTCAGTTTGCGTGTTTGAAAGGACTTCCTTCTAATAATGTACTCAGATACAGACTGGAGTCTGACATCACTTACATTTTTCTTCCCCTCTTCCTTTTTTCTAGCCAGCTTCTCTGACGAAGATTAGTTGAAATTCTAAAGCTTGCATTCCACAAAATTTCCTGTATACATATATAAATATATGCTAATCTAATACTTTTAGTGGTAAACATTATGCAAATTACAGAAAAAGATTAAGAAGTGGTAAGAAAAAGAAGCTAAAGAAAGAAGGAAAGAGGAAAGGAAATCTAATTTATATCAGCATCATTCACGATACCTCTAGCCTCACACATCTAGACTCACAAAACATCCTTGTTTCCATCACACTCCATACCATAATAATAATAATAATAATAATAATAAAGTTGGAAGGGACCTTGGAGGTCATCTAGTCCAACCCCCTGCTCAGGCAGGAAACCCTATATCATTTCGGACAAATGGCTATCCAGTCTCTTCTTAAAAACCTCCAGTGTTGGAGCATTCACTGCTTCTGGAGGCAGGTTGTTCCACTGGTTAATTGTTCTAACTATCAGGAAGCTTCTCCTTAGTTCTAGGTTGCTTCTCTCCTTGCTTAGTTTCCACCCGTTCCTTCTTGTCCTGCCTTCGGGTGCCCTGGAAAATAGCTTGACTCCCTCTTCTTTGTGGCAGCCCCTGAGATATTGGAACACTGCTATCATGTCCCCCCTCGTCCTTCTCTTCATTAAAAGAGAAGTATGTATATTCATTCATATACAGGTAATCCTCATTCAGTGACCATTCATTCAGCAACCGTTTGAAGTTATGCCAGTGCTGAACAAAGAGACTTGTAGCCTGCATTCATATGATTTAGGCACTTGGCAACCGACTCGCAATTACGATGGTCCCAGTATCTCACTGTCATGTGATCATCATTTGTGACCTTCCTGCAGGCTTATGACAAGCAAAGTCATCAGGGAAGACAACAGAAGGTACAAATTGTGATCATGTCAACTCAGGACACTGTGACTGCATGGGATTCACCCAATAGCCGAATTTACCCAAAGCATAACTGCAATTGTAAGTCAGTGTGGTCACATGACATTGCACTTTACAACCTTGTCACTTAGTGTGGAGTTACTATTGTTAAGCAAGGACTACCAGTATTCCCCTTTGTTCTTTAAATTTCTTACTTTGCTCTTATTCAGGTTTTCCTCAGTTCCATCCAATTAGTCTTTTCTTTCCTCTTAGCAAATTTAGGTTTTTTTCATATATTTGTTTTGTGATCAAATTCATTCAATATATTTTTGTATTTGTCACTACTTTTATATTTAATCCATGTTCATTCAGCATCCATTCATTTATGGCAGTATCTCTTCTTGTTTTCTTATACAACAGACATGTCAAACGCACGACATCACGTGATGTCGCGCAACGTATCTGAGCTTTTTTGCCATTGCCGGCAATGGGGTGGGCGCGGCTCCGGTATGATGAAACCGGCCCACCGGCCGGCAGTTTGACAACCCTGTGATACAAACACACCTCTTAACTAAGCCACACCCATGTTATTGAACTTACTTTTCAAAGATTGCTGACCAATGTTGATGGTGGCTGATCACAAGGATTTTTGCCTGCCCTGGACAGAGTTGCACTCCCCAGACACACAAATGGGGTAGGGGTGGGGGGTTGTCAACCCCACATTCCCTCTGAGTGCTCAGATAAGTGTGGTGGTGAGGGGCATTTACCAGCTTTGCCCCTGTTTTGATAGGCCTTTATAATCCAAGCGTTGGTTACCTCTTGAATAGATTACATTATTGTAATGCACTTTTGTGTGAAATATGCTTCTGAAGGATACTTGGAAGTTACAGTGGGGCCAGAAGGCAGTGCCATTGTAAGTATCAAGATGAGTGGGAAGAAGCAAACAACAATAGATGCATAATGATTCCATGGAAATGCTGCAACTTATCTAATCAAGAGAAGAGAATATTTGTAGCTCAGATTTGAACTATAGGGGCCTTGGTCCCCTCTGAGATTGGTTGTTTTCTTGCAGATGCTTTATTATTATACTAGGCAATAAGTGTTAGTAGGAAGTGGGGGTTTGCTCTCATTTTATACAGTATACTAGAGCAGCCACTAGTATATAAAATAAGAGCAAATCACACTCGCTACTAACACTGACAATGTTACCTAACATGGTAATGAAATGTCTGCAAAAAAAAAAAACAATCAAATTCAGAGAGCACCAAGGACTCCACCTATGTAATCAAATAAATAAATAAAGGACACAAATATATAAGGTCAGCATTTGCACAATGGCATCGCTGAACACATTTCAGCAGCAGCATCATGCCTTGCCCTGTGGCCTGGCTTCTATGGAGTGTCTCTCCCTGGAAGAAAATAAAATCACCCCGGCTCAGTTTCAAAATACTTCTTTTAACATTTCCAATATCACCAACTGGGAGTTATTCTCATCCACTAAGGGTGAGCTGGAATCATCTGAGTTGTATCCGATCCAGTGCCATGGAATTCTCTCCCCATAGGTTAGTCTTTCACACGCTCTGATGTCTTTGAAATACAACCTGAAAATTTACTTTCATAAGCTGGTTTTTACTTGCTTAAGCACATATTACATCATGTACTAAAAGCTGTTTTAATATTATGACGGAAAATTTTATTGTAACATTTATTTTGCTACATGATTCATATGTTTGCTTATTTTAACTAAAAGTACTATAGGCAAATTAAAATTGTAAATGATTATGGGCTGGCTTTGCTACGAACATGCAAGCCAAAATCTGAAAAATAAAAAAATCCATCCATCCATTTTAAGTTATTCCTGCCATATGCAGCTCTCATTCCCACTTCAATCAGCTCAATAAAAGTATCATTCTGTCAGTTTGGAATTACTGTTTATGATCAACGTGCTTTTCTTTATTAAGAAAATAAATATGATTGAATTGTCATTATTTTAGTGCCAGATCATATGATTTTTCCAGCTGCAATTCTACTTTATTTTTACTTGCTGAAAGAACAAAAAAAAATCCAGCATTGCTAAATCTTCCCACTTGCACCGAATAGGCAGGCAGGCAGTTAAATGTGAAGTTGAATGAGAACAGCAGATACTGAGATAAAGGAAAGACGGAACGTAGTTATTAGCACTGAGTAATGACTGCTCCAGAGGAGCAAACAAAGTGACATCAATTTTTTAACTAATTCATTCAGCCTTTGTTCTCAACAGCTGTGACTCCCCCTTCTTTGACTCACAGGATACAATCAAAATGACCAAAACACGAAACACTTGATCTGCATTTATTCTACAAAAACCCAGACATAACAAATGGACAAGGGAAAAAGGCATTACATATCCATTCTTGGTTTTAAGTGGGATTCTCTATTTATTAAACTGTGTGGCATATATGTTTAAAACATTTTACTGCCTGAATGGAGTAGTAAATAATCCTTTGACGTCATTTCAGTCACGGTACAGAGCTTTGACACCTGATTAGGGTATTTGGAAAGATGATGCACTAAGTGCTGTGAACACCTGTTCCTTTATAAAATAAAGATATTTATTTCATATAAATATATCTGAAACATATTTAAAAATTGAATAGCAACAAATAAATTATGGACTGGGTTGCCTATTCATGACTCCCCAAAAGCTGCAGTTTGAAACACCAGCTTGTGATGTTAACAGTTGGGCTTCTTTTACCCACCTTGTATTTTATACCTTGTTTGATGGCCTAACATCTGGCTTGGTTGCTCTGTATGCAACATGTATTTTCTTTAAAAACATTTTTGATGATTTGCAAAAGTTGTCCCACATAGTTTTGCAAATCAAGCATTTAACAATGATTGGCTTAATTTATAGTGGAGAAAAAGAAATTAAAAGTTTACCTTTCCAATAAATGGAACCAGGTGATGTTCACACATTGAAAACATATCTATATCCTTCACAATCACCATCTCATCGTGGTCTTCATCAAATATGGCATCATTAAGTACATCTGAAATCAAAATAGGCACATACAATGTAACTATTACTTGCCACTTTCCTTCTACATTGTTTTATTTGAATGTATAAGCTACCCCATTATCCAAAAACTGGATTTCAAAGCAGTGTACATTAAACATGGGAAATCAACAAAATTAAAAACATAAACTGCAAATTCATCATCCAAATTACAATGTTGGTTGTATTACTGAGAACCAACATTCTCAGAGCAGTTTTGAAGTGGTACTTAGACATTCTTACCCCCAACGACTGTTTAAAGCTGCTTTGAAGCTCCCTCGTTCACAGTGACACTTGAGCATCAGTGACACAATATCCTGGGCAGTTTAAATGTTCTTCCATTGTTTTCTTATTGTTTTCTTTAAAAAAAATCTAATATTGGTGATGCAAGATGGTTTGTTCTTTTACACATAGAACACCTAGTTTGTCTTATCTGCAAATTTAACTACATTTCAGACATTTCCATTTCCTTGGACCAGCTTCTTTAAAATTCTACCACCTCCAAATTGTAGTGGGATACACACAAACATACACAGTTTTACAGTCATGCTTAAATTTGTAAACCTTTTTGAATAAAAACATTTATTCAACATTTTTGTATAAATATGACCACAAATATGTAGCTTTGGATCCTTTTTCTCAATAAATAAATGAAGAAGTATTATGTTTATTGACTTACTGGTTTATCTGGATCTCTTTATCCAGTTTCAAGACTTGTGTGGAGAATAGGTCACATTTCAGGTCATATGTATACAGAAACATTGAAAATTGAAAAGGCACAAACATTAAAAAAACACTGTATGCATCTAATAAAATAAATTTGCAATTTTATATTTATATTTGTTTTTAAGAGCAAGACCTTATGATGATACATATCCTATGCATCAGTAATTCTGTAGCAGAAATACTTTTCCAACTGGTGCAGGATTTAGTCTTTGAACTGCCTGCTTTTGTTCTCAAATACTAAAGTGTCTAGATTTAATTTATAGTAGCCAAATTGGCCCTGGAGTTAGTCAAACCACGTGCAAAGAAAACCACAGTTAACCACAATTTTAGGTTAAGTTATAATGACTGAGATCATATGAAATTAATTTGGTCCAAACTAATAACTTAACGGCTTAGTATGTGAACCCAGACATGGATCATTAAGTTTGGAACTCAACTTAACAGTCAATCTGTTGACTGTAATGTAAAGATATCTCTGTATGCATTCTCCTCTATTAAAAATGTGAACAATCATAGCCTATCTCACAAGTTTATTGTGGAAACTGATATAACAGCAACCTGGAAAACTGGTTAATATGGTAATCATAATTTTTTTTTTTTATCCCAAGAAACCAGCTAATTGCTGGGTTGCATGCAACTCATGACTTGAACGGCCTTTCTCCTGGTTGCCTCATACATTCTGTTGCCTGGGCTCAACTTAGGAAGAGAACTTATTAATACACAGATATTTTGGTGGAGGCAAATGAAATATGGGAAGGCAGTTGGGATAAAAAAGAAAAGGGAATAGAAAGGAAGACTATAAATAAAAGTGTAACTTAATCTCATGTTATATTTTTTTCACACTTTTAGATATTTTTAAAAATTGATCTGAATAAAGACAAGGGATTTGGTGCCCTGAAAACCTTCCTTCTCATCTTCAGGTGACCAAAAAGCTAAAATAAAATAAAAAATCAACATCCATGCCAGCCACTTTCCCTTTTCTAGCTTCTGCTGAGATGCATCCCTTCCAGTTATGAACACAGGCACATATACCAATGAACTGCCCTTTAGACCAGGCGAGATATGCTATCAGGGGTGGTTTTAATTTCCTGTGTGCTGCCAGACAGACGTAGGTATCCCTGACAACCGGAGTTTAGAGGCACACTACTGTTTTGTTACGTACTGTCCATCATTGGCAGGGTCTTAAGGAACCCAGGCATGTAAATAGGGGATGTGGAGGGGGGAGAGGAAAGATAAAATATTGTTCCAACAAAAAGGCTCAGAAGAGCAGCTGTGACTCAGTTGGCTTTTCAGCACTTCCCTTCCCATAATTCATTTGCCTCCACCCAAATCTCTGTGTATTAACAAGTTCCCCTCCTAAGTTCAGCCCAGGCAACAGAATGTGTGAGGCAACCACTAATCTCAGGAGAGATGCCGTTCAAGTCATGGGTTGCATGCAACCCAGCAATAATCTGGTTTCTTGGGATTAAAAAAAAATCTAGTCTAGGATATGCATCTATTATTCCAATGGCACATGTAAGGAGGAATTATTTGGATTAGTTCACCCAACCCACCAAGTAGCTCTACTAATTTTTAGATTTGCTTCCCAGAATAACGCAATCTGTATTCACCTATTTATTCTCACTATAATGTCCCATTTCTAGGTTTTTGTAAATGCCTCTTTCAACTATGAAGAAAAGACAAAGTTGTCAATGTAAGGGGCACATTAGGCATGCCAAAGGCTTTGTTTCAAGAATGAGGCTACTATGGAAAAATTTCATAGGCTTTAGATAATAAAACATTTTGTCTCTAAATAGTAAATAACCCCTTAAATCAAGTTTGACTCCTGGTTGACTACATCCAGGCAGTTTTCTCATCTATGTTGGCTGGATGATTATGCAGCATTTGGTAAGAGGAAGGCTGATATTTAGGATCACAGCTGCTACAACTATATCACACTTCCCTGAGCATTAATCCCACTGAATTCAATTAGCTTTCCACTTCTGAGTAGAAGTCAGCAGAGCAGTTCCATTACCTTTTGCTATGAGTCTCTATACCAAATTTTAAAAAGAGTTGATATTCATCTATATTGTAAAAAACAAAACAGTAAAAACATTTCAAATCACCCAAAAATGATATAGGACCTGTGTGGCATAGGTAGTTAAGGTATTCATGTTGAGCTTGTTCTAAGGAGATCCACATCAAGTCCCTACTTACTTGCAAAGTTCTTTAGGTATCTTTGGGCTAATCATTCTCTCTCCAGCCTACCTCATATAGTAGTTTTTGTGAGGATAAACTGAGAGAAAACATATAAATATAACACTGCTGGCCAGGACAAGAGCAGTCCCAACAATTTATTTTTCACAATGGCCATGCAGATGCCTCTGGTGTGCTGAAGGAGGAGACTGAGACATATCTTTCCCCCATTATTCTGTCCCCAACCTCAAATTTATAATTTTATTTCTCTGTAGGCACAAATTGACTACAGGAGATTTACTTATGTATATCTCTAAGTCTGATAGACAAGTAGAAGACTTTGCATATATGACAAAACAGGTGTCACATCTAGGCCAACGAATTGCTCCTAAGCCACAAAAAAACTTTTTTAAGAATCACAAGTTCTAGGCTGATTTTTTAAAATCCAAGTTTAAATCTTGTATGGGCACAATCTCTTTTAACCCATAACTAAAGAGATATGGAATCTCCACACCCAGTAATCATATCAGGTTTCTGTACTTTTGAGTTGAAAGGTTTAGAAGATGCTGATGGTGGAATATGATTAATCATAGTCAAGGGAAGTTATGCTGGATAAAAGCAAGAAGCACAGCAAGAAAGAAAGAGAGAACAGATAAAACCTAAATGAAGGGAAACACAGACTGCGTCAAAGATAAGGGAGCCTGTTGCTATAGAAACTATTTGCATGGCTTTAATGTCACTTGGGCAACCTCTCAGAAGCACCGTTGATTTCATACTCAAAAGGCAGGCCAACAAAATATAGAAGACATATTTAATGGTCTCTGAGCAACTGAAAATTTACTTCATTCCTGGAATAAACAGAATCATGACCTTTTTAAAGAACAGAGAGACCTGTAGCATATTAAAGGCTACCAAATTTATTTCAATGCTCAGGAACTAAAATTACCAGTCTTTAAAGTGCCACAAAACTCTTGACTGTTGGAGTCAGCCCCATCAATTAACAGACTAAGATGATCACTTTAGGCACCAACTGCTGGGCAGTTGACAACAGGTCATTTCTTTCTTTCCTTTCATTCAATACATCATCCATATCTACCAAATGGCTTCTTTACTAGAGCAAACAGAGGAACGTTTGTCTGATATCCTGATATCTCTAGTCTTTATTTCTCTGTCTTATGTTCATAGGGCCTAGGGTTAAAACTGGAATAGCCATTCACTTGTACCTGCTTTGTTGTCACTATTAGATTAGTACCCTTTCGTAAGAAGGCTTTATTGCTTAATAATGCCTTTTGATTGTCTCTGCTTAAAGTATAGAAGTAAGAAATGTACTTAGTATGCCAAAGAGGGCTTGTGGGACATAGAATTCATCCAAAGAGAATCAAATTGGTTGGGTTTTCAGTTAACAGGCGATTCCAAGTTAACAAAATACAGTTGTGTTCATATAGTAGGGCATGCCCAAAAAACATTATGGCTTAGTTTCCATCCGTTGCTTCTTTTCTTGCCTTCAAGTACTTTGGAGAATAGCTTGATTCCCTCTTCTTTGTGGCAACCCCTGAGATATTGGAACACTGCTATCATGTCACCTCTTGTCCTTCTCTTCATTAAACTAGACATACCCAATTCCAGCAACCATTCCTTATATGTTATAGCCTCCAGTCCCCTAATCATCTTTGTTGTTCTTTCATTACAACTTCACAACATTTGGTAGGAGAGGGAAGCGTTAAGAGCAAAAATGTATTAGTACTTATCAGAGGCCCCATAAGGCAGATAAAATAAGGTGAAAACATGGCAGAATAAACATGGAAACAACCTAAATAAAACAAAATGTTTTAAGTGACAACAGGTCCAAGTTGCAGCACCTGTGAAAACATTATTTCTAAGAGAGACAAGAACCACAAAATTTGGCTCTGTAATCACAATCTCTAATTGTCAGATACATCCCTGCCATCCTTAATGATGCAGAATGGAAGAAGGATCACCTGGTGTCCTACTTCCCATCTCTATTGTGTTATTGTTATGTACATAAAATGGTTAAGGCCGGAATAACTAAAAGCCACTCCCTTTGAGTTGTTCCTGCTAATTACACAGCTTTCT